GGCGCTACCTGCTCAACACCTGCGGCCAGGGCTTCCCCTTGAAGACCAACCGGGAGATCGTCCGGCTGCTGAAGGGCTTCGGGGGGAAGAACATCACCCCTGGGGTGCTGCCACCCCCCCACGTCACCGCCCGCACCAAATATGTGCACAGGGAGCAATTATACTCTTTCTTTTCTTTCATGCTATGGACATTTGTGCGCAAGGTGCCCCCGCCCCACAACATCACCATCTACTTTGGCTCTGCGTATGTGGCCGTCACCCGGCCCTTTGTGGAGTTCGTGCTGCGGGACCAGCGCGCCATCGATCTGCTGGCATGGTCCGAGGACACCTACAGCCCCGATGAACACTTCTGGGTGACGCTCAACAGGATCCCAGGTAGGACATCATGTCCAAGGAGGGCACGAGGGTCCCCACCCCAGCACCTGCCACCACTTGGCCGTTGCGTGGTGCCAGCCAAAGAGCCACCAGCTCTCTGTGGTGGCCACCATGGCTCACCTCTTCACGGAGGTGTTTCCAGCTGTGGCTCTTGGTGGTGCCCACCAGCAGGTTGCCGCCACTCCTGTTGTTTCACATGGAGAAACACCCAGGCAGGTGACAGCCCGTGTTGGCAGCACTAGTGGCAAGCAAGGAAGGTGTACTGAGCCTCCTTGAGTTTGATGTCCTGGACATTTATCCACTTGGCTGAGCTGTCTTCTGGGGGGAACAGCATCCGTGACTGGGTAAGGGAGGTCCCAGGCATGGTGGGCTTTGCAGTGTGATGGGTTCAGGGACGCCAAACGCCTTCCTGCTTAGCAGCCGCTGCCCTGCCCCATGAAGACCCAGGGATACAGCTTGGCATCCACTTGGCTTCCACCCTCTTCGGCCGTACTGTCTCATGTGTATCTCCTTGTACCATCTTGCTTCTCCAAAAGCCACCAAAGGGGGTTTCCAGGTCCCTCTCACACACTGGTGGGCTGCACGCTTTCACTCATGGGGAGAGAGTACGTGTTTGCCGACCTATACGTGGCCCACCCCAAGCCCTTTATGTTTCCCAAACATAAATACAAAGTCCAGCAAAATTTGTGGTTGATTTCAATCAGGTCTTGCAGAGTAATATTCCCAAGGGTGATGTGTACACCATTTCAGGCAAATTTCTGAAGTACATATTCCTGCGCACCAGCTTATAAAGCGCAGGAGAAAAGCTTGGATGAGTTGGTGGCACAGAAGTGTAAAGAAGTTGTCCCCTTCCCTAGAGAGAGATTCCGATGAGGATGAACAGGCTGCTTCAGGGGACTGGTAGAGATCAACCCATTGGCAGCTAGGATTTAACCAATGCATTGGTTTGATCCCGGAATCACAGGTACAGGACTTGGAAGGTCAAGGCAAATCAGGCAGCCTTTTATGCCACAAGATTTCCAGCCCATGTTGGTTTATGTATGCGTTACAGAAATGCTAACGCAGTGGCTTGTTTGTGTAAGCTGGCTATATTTGTCTTCATAATACATGGTAGCGATGCAAAGAGGAAAGGGAGCGAGCTGCCTCTTGGAGCCAGCGCATGCAGATCAGCTCTCACTGGAATTGCAATGGCAGAAAAGCAGGAAGAGCTTAGCGGAGAAGCAGGTTGTGTTGCCTTTGTCCTGTGAATGAGGTCCAGGCTCTGAAGCAGTGTTTTTCCTGCCTCCAAACCTCTGCCACCAAGGGAAGACATGAAATTAAAGGCATCGGAGTGACTGGCCTGTCTTTCTAGTCCCTTGTGGCTGTGTTCACACCCTTCACACCCGAGCAGTGCAGTTCTGCTGGTGGCTGTTTCTAAGACCTGGTAGTCGCAAACTTGTTTCCAGGGCAGTGCTCAGTACTGCTGTCCAGGACCCCAGAACAAGACCCCAGAACAGCTTCCAAATCTGAAATCAGTTGCTCAAACAAATATTTGAAGGAAAATATGGTAAATCCACTTTTTTTCCCAGTGCTGAGCTACACTTCCTCCCACTCTTTAATTAACTTACAAAAGTGCCTGGTTTACTCAATTTGGGAGATGGTGAATAATGTGAAGTCAGTAGTTCTGTATTCCTGGAAGGCAGTGCCTTCCAGTGTTTTTGTGGATGTCCTGGAGTCATTCCTGTTTTGTCAGTCATCTTTCTGCTTTCCCACTGTGTCAGCATTTTCCAAGTCTTTCCGCACACCACATTTACTGCCATCTGTTACAAACAGGTTTTTAATTTGGTATGGTAATGCACGTCCCAGGCCGTTTAAAGTGTTTATCTCCTGCCATCACTGCCTCTTTTTGTCTTTTATAAAGTGTTATCTTTAGCTTAATGCTTTCTCCAGAAGAGTAACATTTTCTGAATTTTCCCCAGGACAAACCCACACTTTTTGGCACGTTATTTTATTTGATAATGGCCCAATATACAGAGGGGGAGAAATAAAGCCATGAAGTTCTGGTTATAGCTGCCACATATCTCTGTTTATGGCAAAGTGCTATGGTGGTTCTGCTGTTGGATCATACGGTCTTTTTGCATCTGATCTAAAAGTCATGACCCAGTATTTGCAACCAGCCATCCTTACTTACCAGGAACAAGCTATCCTTAAAAACACAGAGCAAAGCAAGCAAACAGAAAAAAACCCTGATGTTTAACCTCCTTTTCAATTTCTCAAAAAAACCCAACCCCAAACCCAAGCCTCCCTGACATTATACAATGCCTTTAGGGTCTCATTTGTCCTTCACCGCTCTCCTCTTCAAGCTCACAAGCAAAATAGTTGTTGGGTTATGGTAACTGTAGAGGTACTGTACTTGTTGCCATCTAGGAAAGGAACAGAAAAAACCAAAGTAGTACCAAAATCTTACTTTACTTTCACCTTTATTTTTTAGAAAACGCCAGGCTTAGGATGATGACCCATTCAGCTGCTGTTTCAGCACCGAGGGCTTCTTGCATGTGCTGCAGTCACCAGCTGAAATTGTGCTTTACAGAACTGCTGGCAAATCACCCTGTTTAGGATTGTGGTTAACCAGCAAAATAAATAGCCTATACTAATACACATTTTAAATTAAGTTATGAAAATCAGGAAGATGGGCTAATTAGCCTTAAAGAAAGAGAGAGGTCAGAACTGGAGATTAAAATGTCAATTTTATTTTACTTAAGATCATATTTGAAGGGCTTAGGTTCCCTGTCTTTGCACAGGTCCCACAACTCCAAACCAGTGCTATTACGCATTTCGTACAAGCTCTAAAAGGCTTTGTTCTCATTGCATTGTAAATCGAGGAAAATGTCTGTCTTTTCAGTATCCAGAGTTAGTACAAATGATAGATAATAATACAAATGTTATGAAGATGTTTTCATAAAAAGTGCATGGTTCCTTCCCTGCCGCTCATACAAGTGTTTCCTTTAAAAGGAAAACAGGAGGAAGTAGGAATAACAGGCTTTAAATATCCCTATTAAAAATCTGGAAGAAAAACACTTGAACATGTTTAGCTGTTAAAACAGCTTAACTTTTGCATCAACTATGATTAGGCTATTACCAGGGATTATTAGCATTAATAGTAATAATACTAAACACTGTTATCACTATCGGACTCTGCACCCCCTATGTGTACAACAGAGATGATTGACAAAAATCGCAGAGTTTTGCTACTGAGGAGGGCTACCCGCGACGGGGAGCTCTGGGGTAGGGGCTGAGCTTCAGAGGTGCGGGAGCAGCACGGAGCAGCGATGCCCCAGCTCGCCCTCGGCTCCTGCCTCCCGCTGCATCGGGGTGCGCAGGGAGCAGCTGGGTTGGTACAAATCCTCTCCTCCCTGGTCGCTGCCACCAGTCAGTGCTGGTGCTTCTGCTGCATTTGTTAAAAAGCTTGAGTCCCAGATACTCCTCAGCAGTAACGCTGCAGTAATTCTTTGCATTTGAGCAAGTCAGTCTTTTCCTTTGCTTTCAGCTTCATTAGGAGAAAGCAGAATAAACGTCTGCATTTTTGTACCTGCTGGCATGCACGTTGGCTCCCCATAGGCTGCCTGTTCTGCCTTTTGATAGCTCAGGTACAGCGTTGGTCATTGCTTGCTGGGCAGGAAAGAATAAAAGATAGTTTTTTCCAAGCAGACAAATAAGTTATATACGAGTGTGTGCGCCACGGTGAGAAATTGGGGCTTTCCCAGCCTTTCTTAGCAAAGCGGTTTGTACATGGGGTGGCAGTTACACAGTCCGTATCACTGTTTTGTTCTTCAAAAACCGATTAAGCCAATAAGAAAGATAAAATTTGCTGAAAGGGATGAGTTCATAGAAAGCTTTTATTATTTTGTACCTTTGCTTTTTTTTTTTCCCCCTGTATTCTGAAGACAGTTTTAGGAAATACTTCAATAAACTTCTTTCACTGAATTGAATATGATACTGCAGTACAGATCTGGCACGCAGGTTTCCCTAGCTGTACCTACCTGATCAGCTCTTGCTTTCAAAGGCAAAGACTTCATCCCATGGCGATGGTCTGTTATAGTTACTGCCTTGTGCTGAAGATACTGATATTCCCTTGCCTCACAGCAGTTGCCTACACGTTGCATACATGTTGCCCGTTTACTCTTCAGCAAATACCAACTGCTAAATGTTCAGCATTTCCCCCTTAATTACTTAAAATGGATGTTTGCCAGGTTATAGCAGGACTTGATCGTTTACTGACGAGGAGAGGGTCTCTTACCAGTTTATCTCCTACATAGGCCCTGCAATCTGCCTAGACTTATATATATTATTATATAACATTATAGGCTATGATTGAGTTTCAACAGCTCCCTCCAGTTATATCATGCTTGAATTTGTTCTGTTAGTCTCTTTTCTTAAAAAAAAAAAAAAAAAAGACAGTATTTACCACTAAATTCATGTGAAGGTATTATGTGTCGGTGGCCCAGTGTTCAAATAGCCCTTGGAGGGCAGTGCTGGTTGGGAAGGCGACATGAGTGATCGTACGTGCATGCAGTATCATACTGAAGCTGCTGCAAAAGAGGGATTTTATTTCTCAAATGAAATGCTTAGGTCTCTTGGGCTGACATCTTGTTTATCTCATGAAAGCTGCTTTCAATGAAGAAACTTGACAACAAGGTTAGCAGCCAGGCATCTGTTGATGTATATTCCTAAGTATGTCATCCCAGTCCTGTGGAGAAAGGTCCCAGAGAGTGGACATAAACCTGAACATATAGCTGTTAAAAGGACTAATTATTTGATTTTCCGTTACCTAATTGCAGGTGTCCCAGGCTCCATGCCCAATGCATCATGGGAAGGTGACCTGAAAGCAGTGAAGTGGATTGATATGGAAGAGAGCCATGGAGGCTGTCATGGTAATGTGTACATTTTTCTCCATTTCTTCTTCCTGTTCATATAGTGAAAAATACTCGACTGTTGCTCCTCTACTCCTACAGCCTCTAATCATAATGTGAGACAGTCTTTAGACAGCCTTTCATCAGCGAGAAGACATTAAAAAGGAGTCATCTCCTTCATAGTCCATATGTGAATGACAGTAGCCACATAAACAGGGAGAAAGCTGGCACAGTTGCTTCTTCATCAGGAATTTTATAGAATATATCAGCCTTGGGAAGGGTCATATTTGGCAGCGCTTAGGGCTCACATGAGTTAGCTGACTATTTTCCTGAAGGCCTTGGGGGAATTTTCTCGCAGGTAGGTGGGAAGAGCCCCCGTGTATGGCCCATGCTGGGACGCAGATGTGCTAGTGCCAGCAGCGGTGTGCGGGGCAGGTGTCCTGTGTGAACTTGGACAAATCCCAGCTCTCCGCTGGGCACCGACGCCTGCCAGAGTCCCAGCTGACGGAGGAACCTAAGGAGCTGTGGGCTGACGGTGATGGTTGAGCTCTGAGTTTTCCTATGTCATGTTACTGCATGACATGACATTAGCAGTAGGTAATCTTCTGTGTGGCACACTTAATTTTTCAGTCACTGGTTTGTACATTGCGTACGACTACTACTTCTGACATATCCAAGTGGGATGAGAAAGGGAATGCCAAAACGCTAATGATACAAATTTTATTTCAAGAATTCTTAATCCATAACATAGCTGTTTGTGTCGAGGAGAAAAATGTTGAGAACTTCAGTCAGCTTCAATTACAGCAGTTTCACATCGGCATAACTACATTGAAATCAGTGAAATCACACCATTATCACCCAGAATTAGTTAGTGGAAAATCTGGTATGAGTAAAAGTATCGGTTTCTCTTCACTGACAGAAGGAAATTCCCCTTTGCTGTGTTTCAGCCTTGTCTCAGAGAGTCTCAAGTAGTAACACGTCTTTTCTGAGCTATCTCCTTATTTTGCTCATTATTTATTCTGAAGTAACTTTCTTCATTTCATCCCATTGTTCATACTTATTCCCATTGCATGTCCAGTATGCCTTTTAGCATGTTTGTTGTGTAGGTGATTATTTATAGTGGCTTTGTAGATAAAACTTCTCAAAAATAATTAGTTGGATCCTTGATTCTGACGTTGTCTTTTTTCTTTTGGCAGGCCATTATGTCAGAGGCATTTGTGTATATGGAACAGGTGACCTCAAGTGGCTTTTTAACTCCACCTGTATGTTTGCAAATAAGTTTGAGCTTAAAACGTACCCCCTGACGGTGGAGTGCCTGGAGCTGAGACATCGGCAGAGAACCTTGTCCCAGAGTGAGGTTCAGGTGGAACCCAACTGGTATTTTTAGCTAGCAAAACCCCAGGCTACAACATCGATAAAAGCAGTCAAGAGAATAGCAGCAGCAGCAATCTTAATTTCTGCTGTGCCAGAAGCATAAACTCATGAGACGGGTTTCTTTAGGATGTTCTGTACATGCAGCTCGGGTCGGCTTGTCTCCCACTGCCTGCAAATCTCACCTTCCACTTAACACACAGAAGCCAAAGCACGAGAGATCCGAAAAGAGACGCCAGGGCAAAGCTCCTCTTGCGGCTGGAGAAGCTTTGCATTTTTGCCATTTTTAATGGGCTATTTTCCAGCTCTAACTTTTGTCTTGCTACACTGTCATTGCTATCTTTTTGTACAGAAATATAAACAGTCATGCATCCCTGGCACTTCTTGTGTGTAAAAGACAAGTGTGCGCATTTGGTGAGCAAAATGGCAATGAGTCACAGCCAGCAAGATCTTAAAAGCAGGAATACAACTGCTGGCTATACATACAGATACTCTTTTGTCAAAGATACTGATATTTATTGCAGAGAACTGATGGAAAAGTACTGGAAATGGAATAAAGATGCTGCACTTCCCAGATCTTACCTGTTCTTTACATATCTGTTGGGGTAAGGTTTGTAAGAGAAAACAGCATCCTTTACTAGATCAGTGGGTGTGGTTAGAAAAATCAGATAGGCTTTCAGGCACAGGAGCCCTTCTCCATGTCTGAAAACTGAGGGCTTGCATTTGTCTTACTTGGCCAACTAACAGAACCAGAAAAAAAACCCCAAAATCTCTACATGCAGATTTTGGCCCACCAGTGTTCTTAGATCATCATATTTCTAAGGACACAGAGGGAGAGATGGAAAGTGGGAAAGAAAGTAGCAAGATAAATATTTTCAGGACTGAAAGGGCAGTAACTGAGCTTTGGGAATAACTCAGTAATTCTGTGTCATATTTTGATATGGCATAAGCCTTCTTCCCAAGTTTCCTTCCTTTCATCTTCACGTAATGGTTAATGCACATACTTAACCTTGCAGCTCACTTCATCACAGCCCTATTTTTATTCCCCAGTAACAGCCACTAGAGGGAGGCCATCAAACATCTGAGTAGATTTTCCCTTCCAAGTCTACATAAACCCCTTAAAGCACACAAAATCTCAACAGATTAGGCATGCCGCAGAGAAAAAAATCAGTGCTTGGGAATATTTCAATATGGGCAACAGAAGGTAAAAGTTACGGGTATTGGTCATCGTGTCCTAAAAAACAAAGCAAGGAAGCAAAACTATGAATGCTTCTTCCTGTGGCTATGACGGTTGTATTTACGTTGCATTTTAGCAGCACTGTTGAGGGGACCTAGTCAGCAGCACGGAGGCGGTATAAATCAGAATGCCTGAATCTAAGGAGAGTCTGTGCTGCTTTCCTGTCTCTTTTCTGAACAAGCGACGGTGGCTCAAAGAGTTCCTTTTGAATAACAGCAATTTACCACCAACTTTATTAAACCATCGCTAATTTCAGGGTTGTTTAAAAAACTGGATTGCAAACTGCAGCAGTTCAGGAATGACAACACATCATATTTTCGATGTCCTGAAGCACGGCTGGTAACCCCCAGGGAAGGTTCTGAACAGGCAGGATCTGCCTCAGTCAGCTTATTCTGCATTTAGAGCTGCCAACACCTAATAACGCAGATCCCTGCAGAAAGGCGCCGAGAATTTACCTCCAGAGCAGAATTTTGGTGGAAATCTTGTTCAGTTTTTTGGGGAGGGGAGAAGAAGAGGGCTTTGCAAACTTGCTGCCATGGTGGCAGCTGCAGAGAGAAGTATTTCAGAGAGACTCATTCTTTTAAAGAGGGAGTTTTAGGGTGTACAACTTGAGACGCCTGGAACCAGCCCCCTCTTTGTTTTATCAAGCTGAATGTTCCCCAGATTGAAAGGTCCCAAATAAAATAAAGGCATTCTCACCATTTTATGTGACTATTTAAAGTAGTACAGAGTACAAACAAGATTACTTTTCATTGTTCAGACTCTGCAGGCAAATGGCAAAATAGCAGCAGCAGAAGCAGTAAGCTTGGCAGTTTGAAATTATGCGTATAAAAGGGTATTGTACTCTGAGCCTGAACAAATATAGGTATTTTAAGACTGGGTGATATCACCTGTTTAAGTAAGAACCCAGAAAAAACATCACAGCTGGTTAGTCTGTTGAGTGACCTAGCTTTCTGTCCAGTCATGATTTAGAAGGTTGTTTTTTTTCATGAATGCTACTCCATGTTACGTTTTTCTGGAAGTCAATTAATTTGTTTTCATTGTGTGCCTGATTCTGGGGCACAACACCTGCCTCATCAGCCTCTTCTTTTTTTTTTAAAGAAAGAACATTACAGTTAATCACCGTTTGCAAGGTGACGTGGAAAGAAAAGAGGGAACAGAACAAATTCTGGTGGCCAAGCTCAAGAAATGCATCTGAACCAATGTGACCTAGCAGTATTAGCAGTACTTTGGAATAGCAGTAAAAGACATGGGGAGATGAAAAACTGGAGGAGGTGGCTGCTAGGAAGGATGTTCAGGAAGGTTAGGCTCCTGTGCGCAACAGTAACAACAGTTTAGCAACTGCGGCACACCTCTGTAGAGGGAGCTGGCTCTCTGAGTAACCCATGCCTGTACCTCCTTGTTTTCTACAATTATGGCAAGGAGGGGGAAAAAAAGTAAACTCTTTTTTTTCTTTCCCAGTGCAGCTTGTAGCTGCTTTTCTGAATCAGTATGAACAGCGGAGCAAAGTTTTCAGTTCCGTTCAGTCGCTCGCTCAGAAGCTGACCGGGACGGGGCAGGTAAAGAACTTACTCTCTCTAACGGGATTTCCAGGCAGGTCAGGCTTTCCACTGAAGTCAGTTTGACTTGCTTAGACAACCCACGGGATGCCTTTCCGCTTATTGAGCTCCTAAAGACTTTTATACGGCTTGCCCAAGGAGCCAAAATATCACTGTAAGATTTAAGGTGTGTGCAACTGCAGACTTTTGACTCCAGGGACAGTGAAAGGAGCACGGGAACAGGCTGCGCAGAGAGGCCGTGCAGTCTCCATCCTTGGAGGGGCTCAGGACCCCGCTGGACAAAGCTCTGAGGTCATGACACGTACATCTGCACAGGCTGTCATCACTTCGGGATCACAGGTTAGGATTTATGCCTATGAATGAAAATCAACAGACCCTTTTCCTCCTTCCTAACATTAAGGACTTTTTTACATATGATACGGTGCTGTACGAGCAGCTACAAGACCCTGCAAACTTCTGCGCCTGTTCTAGATACTGCAACATTTTTCCTTCATTCCCTAGCATCTCAGATGTTCATCAATACACTAAAAATGAGCGAGAGGAGCAGCATGCATTCCTCTCTTGTTACTCCATACGTGAGGTAGGGAGGAGAGGACATTTGGAGGAGCTAGCGTTGCACCTTCTGTCAGTAGTAGGGAAGAGAGGTCACCGTTGCTTTACCCCCTGTTTGCTGTTGTCTTAGCCTACAACAAATCTTGGACTCCTTGTCGGGGTTTGTTTAACTGGTCTATTAATGCAAGTAGGTACTCATGCAAGACATGGAGTACTCTGCTATGCGGCTCTACAGCATAGTAGTGGGGCTTGCAATGGGATGTATGAGCTGACAGGGCTGGTGCTTGCTAAGTCTCAAACTAAGTGGAACAGGGTTTTAATTTATCCGTTGGATGTGGGAGTTGAGAGTTTCTTTCTAAGCTTTCCTCTTCCTAAGACACGCTATTTCTTCAGGTCCAGCAGGCATCGTCAGGTGCTCGTTTTTCCACCCCACAGAGCAGCACCGTGAGGTTAATACGTGAGCTGAGACACTAGTTAGCTCCCAGGCCCCGACCCAAGTCAGCAGAAAGGGCTGCAGAACAGGCTGAGCCGGTGCAGCCAGCGCTCAGCGTGGGGCGATGAGCAGAGCTGCTGCAGACGGAGACCCTGTCACCATGCGTTCCCCGGAGCCAGCCGACATCAGCAGGAGCTGCAGTTTCAGGCTTACACAACGTGCGAGGCCACAGGTCTGCTGTTCCCCATTGCGAATAACTTGCAGGTTTCATGCTATTTCCCTTTCAGCTGAACACACTCAAATACCTCCGAAAATCCCCCACCAGAAGGAATACGTATGTTCTGTCTGTGCCTGCAACATCGGAGGTGTGCGCAGCAGCCAAAAACGTCCAGCAGCCCGTGCCAGGCTGTAGGAATTGTGAAAGAGTCCCCGGGAGCACAGTTGTGAGAGCGGGTCCAAGAACAGCACGATGCAGCGCTGTGCTTCACCGTGTTCCCAGCTGGGTTCGAGCCTGCTGCTGCAAACCAGGCATCTGCGCAAGTGCTGCAGGTCTAGAAGCCTGAATTAAATTCCCTGGCAGCAGGTCCATGAGCAGGATTTTTTGACGCGAAGGGAGGGCAAGTCTTAGGCTTAGCTCATGGCTCGATGTCTGGCAGCAGTGCTGCAAAAGCCAGCCTAAACCAGCAGGCTCCCAGCCCTCTTGTTCCCTCTCCTGCTAGGTTTGTCTGTGTCCCAGCTGTATCAATTCCCCAGGCCTCAACCAAGAGGCCAAGCAGTACTTGTGCCAGCCCAAAAGAAGGGGTGGGAGAGATGATCCCAGCACTAGGAGCCAGGCAGCTGCTCAAGTTGAGTCTAGTGACAAAAAAGAAAAAAAGAAAAAACAAAAGGAAACAGAAAAAAAGAGAGGCTTACCAAGGTATCCTTTTAACTTCACATAAGGCAAGAAAGTAATGTGAATGTATTCATGTTTTCAGTTTTACCACCACTATTAGGCATCACCTTCCCCCCCCCCCCCCCCCCCCCCCAAAAACTAACAGAAATGGTATAAAGGAAAGGAGAGGTGACACTGAAGTTACAGAACAGTGCAAAAGCCAAGCACACTTTAATGGGCTTGTGGTCTGGTTTGGTTTGCTCCCTTGCAATATTCCACTCTTCCATTACAGTACACTGCCTTGTCCTGCAAACCTTGTATTGCACCACAGCTACCACAAACCCACCATTTTGGCACCCACAACTGCAAGACGGAAGCTTTGGTGCACGTGAACAAATCATCGCATAGCCACAGGAGCCATAAAACTCAAGTAGCCGGTAGGACTGTCTTCTCACTGGCTTTGGAGTCAGTTGCTGGCTTCTAATGCAGTTAAAGCGTCACAGACTCTGGTAGACCTGACTTCTGTGAGCTGTGAAGTCAGCAGTGAAATCAGCAACACCAAACAACAGATTAAGTAGAAGCTGCAGGTGCTGCAAACATCACGCAGGACGGTGCCAAGATCTGCCTGTTAGCACACAGATTCAGAAGTCAAGCCACAGCGTTACGCCGTGATGTGAAGGAATACAATAATGTCCCCAGCTTCCACCAGGAACCAACCTGTTAACATACCAATATCTAATGAACATAACATCTTGATATAAGGTTTAAAAAAAGTTTTACTGGCATTACTCTGCACCTGAGAGGCACTTTCACGGACCCTTTGCAAATCCATTCTTAACAGATTTGAATGAAGATGGATGCTCATTGCTCCATATTCAGAGTGCCACCCACCCTGTAGCTACAGTTTTGCTTGCCATCTCCTTCCTCCCCCAGGCTAGAGCCAGGGATGATTTAGACTTCTGCTAAGAGAGGACCATCCAAGAAAAGCTCTTTGCCTAGCCCATCCTGCTGGCTCATGGCTGGTGACTGCCAGCAGAAATTTTAAGGTGGCACCGTGGTGGTTTGCTATGTGAGCATGAAGACTCACTGGTCGGAATGATAAACAACTGGCTGGTGTGTGAATGTCATTTTTGGGAGGGTCACCTAAAAAGGCTGGAAATAGGCACCGGAAATAGGCCTGGAATTAGGCACCAGAAATAGGCCTGGAAATAGGCACCAGAAATAGGCCTGGAAATAGGCACTCAAGGCAAGACAATGGCATCAAGTAAGTTAACAGGTAAACCTTACTGTCTGATCTGATAGGAAAAGGAAAACACAGCACATGAGAGAATGACCTGAGAATGTGAAGAGCTAAAAATAATAATACGTGGCAGACATAAAGACATAAGAGATAAAAATACTGTTTTGGTAAGTGTCATTCATTCAGCGTCAGCCTTCTTTTTCAGATAACCTGGGGCAAACTGCTGGTTTGCCACAGAGCTCATAAAACTGCAATAGGTGGCCCATTTTCATTTTGTTTTGTTTGTGTAGTGGAAGCCTGATGACTGTATTAACTTTCTTTTGGTCAAAATATGTTTGTGCTAGTCCCTTAACCATTCATATACAACAGAACAAAGGTGCAGCCTGCACGCATCTTCTTCGGGGTCTTTTATGGAAGCAAGTGGGGAGGAAAGTCCATTGCCTTGTGAAGGAATTGGTCTCACCATAGTGTGCAGCGTGCAAGCTTCAGATCTTCCCTTTTTTTTTCCTTGCAAAGATAACCAGGCCCAAGCATAGCTACCATCAGTAGTGCAGTTGGGGAAAGAAAAAACAAAACAAACCACAAAGCAGAAAGCATGATCGACAGGTCCTTTTTGTTGTCCTACAGGCAGGCCTTGAAACTTGCCAAGTTTGGTACACCTTTGGGTACACATTAATGAACAAGCTCTGCCAGGGGTCAGAAGGTAATTTGCTTCTTGTGTCAAGTGGGCCTCATGATATTTTCCTTTCTGTAAAATACATAAAAGATCTCATCACAAGCACAAACCTCAGTGCTCAGTTCTCAAAGCACAGCTGGGAAGGAAGGAGGCAGAGATCAGCTGGGAAACTTGCACCAATCTTATGGAGTTTGTGTCATGCAGAATCACGGACCTGCTGAGGTTGGAAGGGACCTCTGGAACCCACCGAGTCCAACCCCGCTTTCTCAAAGCACGGTCAACTTGCTCAGGTCTGTGTTCAGTTGGATGTTGAATATCTCCACGGATGGAGAATTCGCAGCCTGCCTGAGTGCCTCTTCCAGTGTTTGGCCACCTCCATAATGAAAATTATTTTACTTATGTTTAAATGAAATTTCCTGTATTTCAACTTGGGCCTATTGCTCCTTGTCCTGTCACTGGGTATCACTGGGACCCTGGCTCCATCTGCTTTATTCTTCCCCATCAGATATTTATATGCATTGCTAAGATGCCCCGAGCCTCCTCTCCTCCAGGCTAAACAGTCCCAGCTCTCTCAGCCACTTCTCGTATGAAAGATGCTCCAAGCCCTTAATCATCATCATAGCCCTTTGCTGGACCTGCTTCAGTATGCCCATGTCTGCCTTGCACCGGGGAGCCTAGAACCGGACCCAGCACTCCAGCTGTGCCTCACCACAGAGCAGAGGCGAAGGATCACCTCCGTCGGCCTGTCTAATGCAGCCCAGGGTGCCGTCTACCTTCTTTGCTGCAAGGGCACGTTGCTGCCTCATGGGCGACTTCTTGTGACACCCTGGGATGCCCAAGCCCTTTCCTGCAAAGCTGCTTTCCAGCTGACCAGTCCCAGGCACCTCTGCAGCCCCAGACCGGGAGAGCTGCACCCTCCCTCGGGAGCTGGGACTGTGCCCACCGCGGTGCCGGGGCGGCTGCTCCACGTGGCGCCGGAGATGGTGCCCCGTAGCACGTCACTGCCGTCGCTGAGCACGTGCACGCTGTCGTCAGCAGAGTTTCCGGGGAATCCAGACGCCTTCCTTTGACATCCGTATTGGGCTTACGGGGCAAGGTTGTGGCAGCGGGGGGCTTCTGTGAGAAGACACCAGGAGCTGCCCTCATGTTGGGCAGAGACAGCTCCAGCCAGCTCCAAGACGGACCCACCGCTGGCCAAAGCTGAGCCCATCAGCGATGGCAGTGGTGCCTCTGGGATAACATATTTAAGAAAGGGAAAAAACACAGCGCAGCAGCAGCTGTGAGAGAGGAGTGAGCAAACCGTGAGAGAAACGGCCCCGCAGACACCCAGGTCAGAGCAGAAGGGGAGGAGGTGCTCCAGGCACTGGAGCAGAGATTCCCCTGCAGCCCCTGGAGAAGACCATGGTGAAGCAGGTTGTCCCCCTGCAACCCGTGGGGGAGCACGGGGGAGCAGATCTCCACCTGCAGCCCACGGAGGACCTCATGCCGGAGCAGGTGGACATGCAGCCCGTGGAAAGAGGAGCCCACGCAGGAGCAGGTTTGCTGGCAGGACCTATGGCCCCGCGGGGGACCCAGGCTGGAGCAGTCTGCCCATGAAGGACTGTCTCCCGTGGGAGGGACCCCAGGCTGGAGCAGGGGACGAGCGTGAGGAGGAAGGAGCCGCCGAGACGAGGCATTACAGCCTGACCGCTGCCCCCATTCCCCCTGCCCCGGGGAGCCCCAGTGATGTTCAGCCTGGGAAGAAGGGGAGGAGGTGGTTTTGGTTTATTTATCACTTTCCTCCTCCGTTATTAATTGGCAGTAAATTAAATTAATGTCCCGAAGCCGAGCCTCTTTTGC